TTTTAAAGACTTGCAGTGTGACAATTCAGCACATGGCTATATGCTGCCATTTCTGACACTGGCTGAGAAAAATATGCCCTATCATCCACTTTATTGATAAAGCATTTGCTTAAATCTTTATTTTAATTATTAGCTACAAATTTTGTAGCACAGCCAAATGATCATCACTTTAGAATTTATAATGATACCATTATTAGAAGTCTCTTTCTCCCTTTGGACAAAAATTAAGAACAAGTTTTTTCTTTGGAACTTCACTGTTAAAATGCTATTATTGGAAGACTCACTGATTGAAAAGACATTAAACTGGACAGTCTGGCTAGCACAGGCACAATGTTAACTCAAAGATGACAACTCCAGGTTCCTGGTAAATTAGCCCAGAACATGAGAGCTTAACCATAACTTATTCCACCTGGACTCCTGACTCTCGCTGGGGTGAGGCAGAGCCCCTTGGGGGTCAGTCCCCTCTGGGAACAGGGCTGGCTATCAGTTGCCTGTTGAAAAAGTGAGTTTAAAGAGGTCACCAGCAGTGTAGTGAGATGACCTGCCAGAGGCCACTACCTTTAAGTCCTGAGACTCTGCAGAAGACACAAATGGAGGCAGGCAGTTTGGTTACCTTGGGGTAAGGAGTTCTACCCACAGGACTGACTATGACAGGACTCAACCAGATTATAGGTAAGGGGTCTAGTCCGTGAGAGCCACACCCCTTGGCTTGGCTGTGAGCCAGAGTAGGATACGTAGTTGTCACTGTCCCTCAAATCACTCTTCAGACATTGTGGGGAGACAGGATTAGGAGACCCCGGAAGTGGCCAACCTGTAGCACTGAGACTCAGTTGGCGAGACTACTCCTGGATAATTCAGGTGGGCTCTTGGCACAGAGCAATGGCAGTTTGATGTCATGAGCACAGCTAAATAGTCATCTGAATTAGACTAATAAGCACTTCCTGTAGGGGCAGGGAAGCAAGGCTGGGATGCAAACAGCCTGACCTCAATGCTCAGGGCCTTGGGTACCAGGAGAGAGTTTCCTGAGGGGCTTTTGACAGATTAGGGGATGAGGGCATGATTCAGTTTTATTTCATCCACTCACTCCCAGGCCTTAGGGGGTAGGTCAAATGTCACCTTGGACTACTTAAGCTTTCCAAAATCAGCAGAAAGTCAATAGAGTGTCATCACGGGACATGAAGTTCTTGCGGAATGAAAGAAACGTACATAAGAGAAATCTCAGACATACAATATGATGTTAATATGTCTCTCTGTATGCCTTCCTCATGGAGCTGCAACTAAAGCAATAACTGCTGGTCTGTCACCTTTGTCCAGACAAAGGGTTGCCAATAAGGCCTAAGGTGGTACTACCCTGAACCTGGCCAGGCCACCTGCCCTTCCTTTCAGGACACACAGGCCAAGACAAATATAAAGAAGCATTTCACAGAGCCCCTTTCCAGAGTACTGCACCAAGGGAAGGATGTGACCTGCCTGTAGATTTCTTTGGTGGCCACAGTCATCAGAGACAGTAGGTAGGGAGCTGGTGTGGCCTCAGTAGTAATGAGAAACCTGCTCTCAAACATTATGCCCATTTTCAGATGCAGAGTAGGGCTCCAAGGAAACCAAGGGAATTTCTAGCAACATTCAGATCAAAAGAGACTGAAACTGAACTTGCCTCTTGCTCTTAGGTGTGATTCTAAAATAGGTACTAACTTAAGAAGAACTAGGAGATCTGAGTTCCTGCCTTCACTCTAGTCACCAACTAGTTGTGTGACCTAAGCAGTTGCTTTGGGTTTTAATTTTTTAAAAAGTATACTTTTCATTGAAGTATAACACACATACCTATTAAGTTAATAGCTTGTTTTTCACGAAGTGAACTTACCTGTGTCACCAGCATCCAAATAAAGAAAGAGAACACGACCAAAGGTTCTGGGTCTTTAATACACTCTTT